TAGTATGAAGTAGGCTGTGATATCCCCATTTTACAGACTAGAAAACTGAAGTCAAGTGATGTTAAGTCACTTAGCTAAAGTTATAGAGTGACTAAGGTAGGATAAGAATTCAGGTTTGTCCATGCTTGTGGTTCTTCCTCAAAACCACCTTGGAAATGTGTCTTCGGAGGGCATTTGGAGAGACCCTGTCAGAATGAGCAGAAAACTAAAATTCTGGGTTAATTGTCTAATACGTGGCATGGAACTATCTTTAAGAATGTGAAAGTGGTGATGTGGGAACTGGGGAGACGCTAAGTCTTGCTTTACCCATATTTGGATGAAAATGGCCTATTTAAATGATTTACCTCTCAGGTATTAACGTGGGCAAGGGAATTGCAAGAGTCTCAGGGTAGCCATGCAAGAAGAGTTACTTCACCTGACAACAGCTTTGGATTTCAAATGATAAAGGAGGTCAATTACCCATGAAAATATCTGTTTGGGGCTGAATTGTGCTCCCTCTCTCCCAATTCACTTGTTGAAGTCCTCACCCCCAGTATCTCAGAATATTATGTATTTGAAAATAGGGCCTTTAAAGAGGTAATCGAGTTAAAATGAGGGCATTAGGTTGGGCCATAATCCAATAAGACTGGTGTTCTTATAAGAAGAGATTGGCACAAACACAGAGAAAGGAACACATGAAGATACAGGGAGAAGGCTGCTGATTTTTTTTTTTTTTGGCACTACTGTTATCCCCATCTTAAAACAGTGTTGACACATAGTAGGAGTTCAATAAACATTTATCCTTAAGCTAAATTAAAATGAATTAAACAAAAAATTGAATGGAAAAATCTACACGAGTTAATTTTTACCTCATGGAAAAATATGTTGCACCAAAAACTCCCTGGTCTTGGACTCCTCCATTGCTCATTAATATAACCGTCATCTTGTTTGTGGACAGGATGATGCAGCATGAGCAAGGCCCTCAGCCACGCAGGTGTCTGAAGGTAAAGCTGAGAATCCCAGGAGCGGAGCAGAAGGAGCTGTGGAAGGGGCACAGAGCTGGAACTTGGGCCACGTAAGGGGGCCTCACAGGGTTACTCCCAGTAGACTGGCATCTGGGCTGCTTTCTGCCACCATAGATACAATTTGCAGGTATGAGGGTGTGCAACCAGCTGACCCAGGTGTTAGTCACAGGATGGGCACTTGGCAAAATAACTGACCTGGGTAAAAGGCCTTGAGTGTGAATTACAAAGAATTTCCCACAGAGAGAAAACAAGCCCCTGTAATCACATCACAGCGTTCAGCTCACTGATTCTGAATACAGCCACTGCTTACCTTTTGTCATCTGGAACACACGGCCCCTGGTCCCCATCAGTCCGAGTACTCTTGACTAGTCATGCCATGTGAATTGCCAGTGAGATAGCTCTTAGGTTGAAAACATAATGATAATAACCAGCCCCTTTCCCTAAATGAAATGCAGCTGGATTTCTTTGCCCATCTTTCAGCTCAGAGTCAAAATCAAAGTCTCTGGATAATAGACTTGGGGGGACTGGAAATAGGAAACAACATATCATTTCAAACCATTTCAGAAGGCAGGGGGCTGGAAAGGTGTTGGACCTGGGAGGACAGGGGCTGGAGGGAAAGATCACAGAACCAGGCCCTAGTTCCAGTCCTGCCAGTGACTTGCTAAGTGATCCAAGGGAGTCATTTGTTCTCTGAGCTTCAGTTTCCTCATCTGCCAAACAGAGGTTTTAGTTATTTCCTCCTAGTCATCTCTAGAAAGCTGTTACTAAAACACGTTAGAAATGGTCAGGCCAATAGTTTAATGTTGGTAACACAATGTGAAATATCCTTATCAATAAATGAAATAATACTGGTCAGGGCTTACTGCTATGTCTGAATTTATTGCTCTGTCTGAATTTAGAGGCTCAGGTGGGGAAAGGTGTTACCAGATTGATAAAATTCATATTTGAGTCATCGCCCATGACATGTGCTAGCACCTAATGGATTCTAGGCTCTCTTTTTGATACTTGGGGATCCAGAGTTCGTTCCTCATGGAACTTATACCTTGCAAAAGCACACTTTAAACGTACAGAGTCATCAAGTAACTCAACAGTCAAGTAACTACAGGAATAGAAGGAAACCAAGAGATGAAGTGGTCAGCTCTGTAAAGAAAGTCAACATAGCCTGCCTCCTTAATCGTGACTTACCATATTCAAGACTGTGTCCCTCAGAATCGTTACTGCTTCAATAGGAAGGAATAGAAAAGAAACTTGGAAAAATAAAACATTTTTGAGTGAGATAAAAAGTCGAAGGAAACCCACAGTTAATTTAACTCAAAGTACTGGGTTCAGTGAGTGTGAGCATAGTAGGTTCCTTTACTCAAGACAAATGTCTGTTCAGAGTTAAAGCAGGAGCTGGAAAACCTTAAGGCAAACAAGTCAAATTTTCGGAGAGGTACAAACAAAGGTCATGATACAGAGGGAAAGGAGCAATTAACATGGGGTGGGGGGCAGATGGGAATCAGTGAAAAGTTTACAGATGAGATGGCATTTTAGTGAAGCTTTGCAGGATTAGTATTTCAGCTGATAGAGGAGGAGAGAGACTGGAGAGCCATCTAGCCAAAACTCAGGCATGAAAATCCATTAGGTGTGGGGAAATGCAGTGGGGAATGAGGCTGGAAAGATAAGCTATGATGAGATGACAGGGCCCAGTCTAGGATGACACACGTGAGGTGCCTGGGGTGCACAATTTAAGGAGGCATTCACTCTCAGGGTCGGACAAGCGGGATTGGCACAGTGGCTTTGGTCATTAAGTAGAGGGTTGATGTCAAAATTTCCCACATGAGAGACTTCTGCTTCTGGTAAGATGGAGTAGATGTACCTTTCCTTATGCTTCCCACTAACTGCAACTAAAAACCGTGAACATATAAAACAAACATAAGACTCTGACAGATGGAGAGACGAAAACAGACAAGCTTAGTAACCTTGAGATCCAAGGAAACGTGGTGGTGAGTCCCCTGGATTTTGTTTTCACTTCATATTTCCAGACTTGGAGCCGAAGAAGCTGGCAACCTGGAAACACCAGTGGGTGCAGACAAAAAAAGCCCAACAAAAGCCTGCTGTTTCTAGCCAAAGGACCAGGAAACAGGCAGCCTAGAAAGAAGGAAATAACTGCTGTGTTCCAGCCAAATGCCACAGAAAAAACTGGTCTCACTTCTCCTCCCCTTTCTGTCCCCCACAGCAGAGACTACATGCAGAAACTAGACTTCCATTATCACCAGGCTCTAAAGAGGTGTCCCAACCCCCTCTCTCCAGGTTAGTGCCCGAGAAGCCTGAGTAGAGCTGAGACCTGCATCCCTTCCCAGCCCCTGTGGTGTCAGTGGAGACCTTGGGAAGTCTGGACTTCCGCCCTCATCTGGTGGAGATGAGGCACTGTTCCACCTAACTGATGCAGTGATACCAGAAGCCTAGTGGAAATTCAAGACTCTATCTCCCAGCAGTAATAAAGCCACCTCCAACGTGGTGTCATTGGAGACCAAAGCACGAGGGGTTTTTTCTTCAGTCTTTACCATAAGAACCTAATTGAGTTCCTAGAGGTAACAATCATGAAAGTGTGCCCCCCACCACCAAAAACAAAACAAAACAAAACTGAGCCTCCAGGAGGTTTTTGGTTTTGTTTTGTTGTTTTTGTTTTGTTTTGTTTGTTTTCTCTCTTAAGCTAGTCCTCATTCAGTAATTCATCAATTACTATTTAATTGTTCCTACCCATTGCTGGCTCCAGCAGTGACTTCTTCTCCTGGTGTGCTGTATGCCATGATTCTCTGTATTCACCTGTCTCTTAACTTTTGGGGGTGGCTGTTTTCCATGTGACTTCAATTCTCTTGTTAACTTAAGAAGACTTGTTGATTTTCAATTTGTTCCATTTTTTTTTTCTTGTTTTGAGGATGACAGTTCCCGAGCTGTTTACATTTTGGAATGGAAATTGGAAGGTCCATGATTATTTTTATTTATTTTTTCTTTCGGTTTCTTAGACTGGATAATCTCAATTGACCTGTCTTCACTTTCTTCTCCCTGTTCAAATCTGTTGTTAAGCCCCTCCAGTGATTTTTTTTTTGTTATTGTACTTTCCAACTCCAGAATTTCCATTTGGTTCTTTTAAAAAATAATTTCTCTCTCTATTGATATTCTCTATTGGAGACATTATTCTCATACTTTCCTTTAGTTCTTTAGAAGTGGTTTACTTTGGGGATTTCCCTGGTTGTCCAGTGGTTAAGATTCCACGCCCCCAATGCAGGGCTCCTGGGTTCGATCCCTGGTCATGGAATTAGATCCCTCATGCCTCAACTAAGAGCCCACATGCTACAACTAAAAGATCCTGCACGCGGCAATGAAGATCCCGTGTGCTGCAACTAAGACCCAGTGCAGCCAAATTAATTAATTAATATTAAAATAAAAAGAAGTTTTACTTTGGACATGTTTAAAATAGCTGATTTAAAGTCTTTTTCTAGTAGAGCCAACGTCTGGGCTTCTTCAGGGAAAGTTTTTTTTTTTAATTTTTATTGGAGTATAGTTGATGTACAGTGTTGTGTTTCAGGTGTACAGCAAAGTGAATCAGTTAGACATATACATATATCCACTCTTTTTTCTTTTCTTTTCTTTTTTTTTTTTTAGATTTCTTTTCCCATATAGGCCATTACAGAGTATTGAGTAGAGTTCCCTGTGCTGTACCACAGGTTCTTATTAGTTATCTATTTTATATAAGGTAGTGTGTATATATCAGTCCCAATCTCCCAATTTATCCCCCTCCCCCAGGGAAAGCTTTTATTGATTGCTTCCCTCCTCCCCCTTTTTATGGGCCATACTTTCTTGTTCCTTTGCATATCTTACATTCTTTTGTTGAGAACTGCACATTTAAAATAATATAGATAATAAAGAGTTCCCTGGTGGCCTAGTGGTTAGGATTCCAGGCGTTCACTATCATAGCCTGGGTTCAGTCCCTGGTTGGGGCACTGAGATCCTGCAAGCTACACACCATGGCCAAAAAAAAGCAAGAAAAAATAATATAACATGGCAACTCTAGAAATCAGGTTCTCCCCATTCTCCAAGGTTTGTTGTTGTTGTTTGTTTAGTGACTTTTCTCAACTAATTCATTGTGAAGTCTGTATTCTTTATTGTGTGTGGACACTGAAGTCTCTACTGATTAGCTTAGTAGTTAGCTAATGATTGGCTACTAAGCATTTAAGATTACCTTAAATGCCTGGAACCAGTATACCTCCCAGTCTTTCATGAGGGGCTCTGTGTGCCTACTGGGGCATGTCTTCAACAGTATCAGCCAAGCAGTTGAAAACTCTGCCTTTGCCTTCACTTCCTGCTTGGGAAAAGCTTCACGGTCAGCCGGGGTTGAATGCACAGGGCCATCTCATGTCTTTCTTGAGCATGCTCACAACCCTGCATGCACACGGCTCTATACATGTGCGTGGACTTCTAGACTCCTACGGATATGTCAGAGCTGTTCAGAACCCCTATGGACATCTAATTTACCAGCTTTTCCTTTAAGCTTTTTGACTAGTCTGTCAGTTGCCGCAAATAATCCAATGCCTCAGAGAGCCAGGAAGTTAAAACATTTTGTCAAAAGTTTTGCCAAAAGTTTTGTGAGGAGAAGACTTTTTTGCACTGAGTGGACTCCAAGTTAGGTCAAATGCAGATAGCTTTGCAAGCAAGTGACGTCTTCCAGAAAACCAGCAGATGAGTCAGATAATGACAGTTCTTTGGGAATGAGACTCTGAAAGGGCTCTACCTCTATTCTGCTCCCTCTGGTGGCTGCGTTGGAATCTAGGCTGTTGAAAATAAGACTACCATGGAGCTGGAGAGTGGATGATGGAACAGTGCCACAAAGCATGCTGTTCAATCCTGAGATTCAGTTGTTCTTAAATAAATGTTTCCTGAGCTGCTGAAAGCTTATAGTTAGTATCCAGAGTCAGAAAAACCTGATTCTGACAATTTCTTTTTTTGCCAGATTTTTCATTGCTTTTACAGAGAAGAGAATTTTCAGAGATCTTATGCCACCATTTTGGGTTATATCTCCCCTGCAGTTTGTAACCTCACCCAGGGTTTGGCCAGAGCAGCAAGGAATAACCCTTTGTAGTTAAAGTAATTCCCTCATTTAATGGAACCAGCTTTGCTGGTGTGAGTACCTTGAAATCACAGAAACCCGATTTAAAACAGATATCCTCTTCAAATTGCTTTTTGAAATCTTTTTGTCTTAACTATAAATTATGATAATATTCTGAAGTCAATGAACCTATATCCAAATCCTGTTCAAAGCTACAAGTACATACTATTTCATTGTGTTACTAAAACATAAAGTCTAACCAGCCTTCTATGACTGTACTTTTAGATATGAGTATTTTTAGATATTAGCCTCCCCACATCACTGTCTTTTTATTTTGTTGAAATCCCAAATTTGCTTTTGATTAACAGTCAAACCTTAAATGGTCCTCTGAGAGAAACAAAACCTGAAAAGGTGAGATTGAAATTAAATGATTTAAAATAGTATTTGGGCATTCACATTTCCATTGGTGCTAAAATAAATCTGAACATGGAATGGAATTCAGAACTCCATGAAAGAGAGCTGGTGTCCAAAGAGTTGATGTCACACAGCCTAAGGCCTGATAGGCCTATAAGTTGGAGCTGGACAGTGGTTGTCCATTCTGGTCGCACTGGTGGAGACTGTGCTTCTAAAAGCGAGCTCTGCATGCTTATATCTCAATTACTCCTAACAAGGATAAGTAGAATTTTCTTTCTCAAATTAAGGGTTTGAGAAATTCCTGATAAGATGTACTGTTCCCTAAAGTTGATTTTAATTGTAATTTTTTTAAACTGTCAGCATTTATCCAGCTTTGGCGACTTAGATACTCGTAAGTATGCTTTGGCAGTTGGATTGTTTATTCTTCTCTTCTGGCTCACTTTTCCCCAGTTTCAGGGAGTCAGATTAAACAAATTGCTTATTCCACACAAATGGGGCTTCCTGGAAAGATTTAGCATTTAGGAGGAAAAATGGCAGTTGTCAGAGGGAGAATTGAAAGCTTCCTTTTCCTGAAACACATATCACAAAATAGATTAGTATATTCTTAGTATTTTTGAACATAACATTTAAAAAAAGTCATTCCCTTAATAATTGCCATAGAGGATTTTTAAGCCTGATGTACAGGGAAGGGTTTAATTCTGACTCTGAAAGGGAACTTATTTCAGGAGGCCCAGGTGTTTGGGAATAAAACCATTTGCTCGAGTGCAGGCTGGTTATTTACAGCTGCACTTTACTGCATGTGAAAGAGAGAAAAAGATTCTTCCCACTTTCTTTCCTTCCTTCTCTCTGGACTTTGCATTTCAGTCCCATCTCATTTAGAAATGAACCCTTTCCCCCATCTCTGGGCCAGCTTAGGGTCCTGGGCCCCCCCTAGGAAGACTCATTTGTGTTTTACACGCATAAGGATCTGTGGTTTGGGTTCATTCTTCCTCCACTGAAGGAAGCATATTGAGGTTGCTAGGTGGCTGTGGGGAGGGAAGCCACATTCACCGCTTGCCTGCACTTCTCTGCCTAGGTGAAGCTTCCCAAGTTAACACGATAATTATGTTCTGCATTGGTGGCGGTATCCTTTTGGCTGTGCTTGTGCTGATGGCTGCTGTCATCTGCCTTTACTACAAAGTAGCCAACGCATTGAAGTGAGTGATGTGGGTAAGAGTGGCTAACACTCCCTCAGATGGGATCCTGCGGTTCTGTGCTTGAGTAGGGTCATTCCTTGCCCCATGGCCGCACCCCGGGTGAGGTCAGGAACAGCGGGAGGGTTTGAGACGACAAAGGCAGTGCGTGTAGAATCTTGGTTTCTTCACCTTCCTGTTTGGGGCTCTGAGCTCATAAGTAGAATGTTCTCAGCCAGGTGGCTCTGTGCTGCTTTGCTGTTACTTGGCCTCATTGAGTTTACCCTCAGCTGGCTAATTCCACACACTGCAGACTGAAGACTGTGTGAATGAGTCTCTCTGCCTGTGTTCACTCAGAGGACGGGCTGAGTTGATCTTCTCTTGCCTGAGTTGGGGAGCTCTCAGTGTGTCCTTGGCCTTGGGGACAGTGAGGTGGGCCTATAGGACTTTGGGGAAGCTGAGTTGTGTGAAGATCCTGGGGTTTGCCTAACAAGGGAGTGTAGATCAGAAAAGTGAGCATTAGATTTTGGGGAAAGGAACCTTCAAATATGGGAGAGATTGGTTGCCAGAAGCAGTGGTGTTCCCATTCATTAACGTTCCAAGGAGGCAGCATAAGTTGTTGAACAGAGTCCTGCATCAAGCTTTCAATGACCTGCCTTTTATTTACAGCTCCTCCTCTGCTTGTATGTGTTTGATCAAGGCACTGTGTTTTTCCATGTCTCAGATTCCTTATCTAATAATGGAGAGAAAAAACAAACAAAAAAGCAGTGGTTTTCCCATTCTAGGGAACTTAGGCCTGTGTGCTGGAAGGTGAATCCCAGCACTCAGGGGACGGCTGACTTTGGCACCTGTCATGCTCTGCACTTGGAGGACTTGCAGTGATCATCTCGTGACCCGCACTTGCAATTCACACTCCCTTATTTGCTGTAACCTGATTTTACATTTCTGGCAATCTTAGGAGAGAAAGGGATTAGACAGGAACTTGGGATGGGGGCAGAGCACTTTAGTCTTGGGCTGGTGTCATGTGTTTCATTGGCTCCAGTCCTAAGCTTCTGAGATACCTCTGACAAGTTGTAACAAATGGACTGAGAAGAAAAATTCTAATCCTATGCTCTGTGTATGTCTTTTCTTAAGAGTTCCAAAGGTACCTATTTCTTCAGCCTTAAAAGATAATCCAGCCATGGTCACCCAGGACAAGGTCACTGCGGCCATCACCACTGGGTCTTATCCCAACCTCCAATGCTGTGATGAATGTAACTTGTATGCTGGCTTTGATGCCCTGCCACCGTGCTTCTGTGATGCAAACGAGGGACTCTGACTTGGGTGGGCACAAATATCTTTGTGAGCAATATTTCTTTATTAGTAGAATGTTTTATTATTCAAGTCAAGTTTTATACCGTTTACATTATATCATGTGCTATGTAACATATTTATGTACTTTTGAATAACTGAAATATTGAAAATAATCCTCTCTGCCTCCAGTGTTGTTGTTGTTAGTTATAAAAGTACTTAAATTTGTGTAGTACCCACTTTGGGACTTGGGGCAACTAGCTTATAAAGTTGTACTGCAATATAAGGAGAGTTAGAGTAGAAAATACACCTATATATCCAACCCCAGAAAAAAAATATTGACCTTAGAGTGTTTCTAGTTTCAGACCCTGCTAAACTTCCCACGGTCGGCCCTCCTCCTTCTAAGGGCTTCATTCACTCTCATCCAGCTACTCTACCATGGGCAGTTGTTATACTGCCCTGGAGGGAAACTCCATTCATCCCAGAGGGAGAACAGCCAGATGGGCTACCTCTGGGTTGAGGTTGCCTGATATGTGCAATCATGGGGTTGAGCTCTGTGGTGTCAAAAGGACATTTTAAAAACCTGAGATTCCTCCTCCTGCTATCCTCCAGAGCTTCAGAAGCAGATTTTTTTCTTCTTTTTGGATCACTTTAACGCTGATTATTGCTGACTCAGCTGTCAGTGTCTTTAACTGCAAACAGGAACCTCCCGCTGAATGGTGAAGCCCAGATCCTCCTGGTCTCAGCAGTAGGCAGGAGGGTGCACCCCCTGTCACTCCTGCTCGTCTGCTCCCTTCTGTTCCTGCTCTTTCCTCTGAACCTCTGGAACCCCCTTTTAACCATAGACTCTCCATTTGTAACCACAATTTGTTCTTTTTTTAAAAAAAAAAAAACATTTGAAATGTTGATAGCACATATTTAATTTATTTTTATTTATTTATTTTTTGGCTGCATTGGGTCTTCATTGCTGCGCGTGGGCTTTCTCTAGTTGCGGCGAGCAGGGACTACTTTTTGTTGCGGTGCACAGGCTTCTCATTGCGGTGGCTTCTCTTGTTGCGGAGCACGGGCTCTAGGCGCACGGGCTTCAGTAGTTGTGGCATGAGGGCTCAGTAGTTGTGGCCCGCGGGCTCTAGAGTGCAGGCTCAGTAGTTGTGGTGCACGGACTTAGTTGCTCCGCAGCATGTGGGATCTTCCCAGACCAGGGCTCGAACCCGTGTCCCCTGCCTTGGCAGGCAGATTCTTAACCACTGCGCCATCAGGAAGTCCCCGCAATTCGTTCTTTCATTAACAAAACCCTTGCTTAGTGAGCATCATGTGTTTTACTCAAGGTAAAGAATTGACTCATAACAGGTGGTTGGTTACCTGCTAAAAGGGATGGAAAGGGTAACAGGAAATAATGAAGGAAACGGCTACTATCTCTAGGCTAACAGGGAGAGAACAATGGTAGGACTAAGCATTTGGAAGAGGCCACCTCCTGGCTGAGTTTCAGTCCTCAGTGGAGGGCTTGGCTGATGAGGGAGTATTCAGCGCTTTAGTGCTCGTGAAATTTGCCAGAGGGATGTGGGAGCTGGAGCTGCTCTCACACAGTAGCCCTTGGAATGTCTGGGAAACTCGATGGAGGGTGAGTGTCCCCAATCTCAGTAAGAGTTTCAAGAGGCAAATTCAAGGCTGCACCTTCCCTGGAACCTGCCTTCCAGCCGGACGTGACACGTCCTTCTTGAGTTCCTGGAGCACTTCCTCCCTCTCCTGGCACCTACTGCTTTCTGCCCCTTCTTAGGAGTTCAAATGCAGTTCTATTTTCTCTTGTCGCCAGCAAGCCCCTGAGCACGTCCAATTTCCCTCTGAACCCCACCCAGTGGGCAGCTCAGTGCCCAGCACCTGGGAGGCCCTGCACAAGTGTGTTCCAAATGTGGGGAATATGCCGTAAGTCCAGGCATCGCAGGGTCCTTGAGGAAGGCAAGATGGAGTAAGAGGTCTTTGAGACAAACCCCTCTGGTTGGCAGTACGGACAGAGTGTAACACAGGGGCTTTAGAACTGGACACAGTTGGTTCCAATCCAACTCTGCCTTTCACAAGCTAGTGCCACTGGAGAAGTTTCTTAACCTCTCTGAGCCTGGTGGCTGGGGGCTGCCAAACAGGAGCCACATTCCTGATGCCCAGAGGCCCTCTCTTTACTCCTGTGTATGAGTATACAGTATGCTGGGGATACACCATGGATACAACAGCATCTCTGCCCTCAGCGAACAAGTTCTTAGGGGCCTGATTGAATTCCAGCTCCAAATCAAAACAGATTTCCCCCATTTTCTTCTTAATATTTCCATGTAGATCTTCCAAATGCTTGCCCCAGTGGCCATGCAGGTGAATCTCCTCTGCATTCGTTCATATAACGAATAAGATCTTTTCTAACCCAATGTGAAAACACTTAAGAACTTACTTAGAATGGGCAAATCAAATTAAGTATTTAAAAACAGCGCTGAAAAATTATCTGGTCACTGGCCCATCAGTCATCCCTCTGTCAGGAACTGACTAAACATCCACTGGTGGCCATGCAAGGGGTGTATTCAGAGGTGCGTCGGGTGCCATAGTGTAATACGAAGAAAACTGTCAAATACTGTGACTCACTAGAGAGTGTAAAATCATATAACCAGGAATAAAAAAACCTTTGTAGTGCAGCTATCGAGCTGTACAATGCACTATCAGCATATGATAATATATCAATGTTGTTTTTTCTTTAGTCTTAGCAGACTCAAAGGGGTGCCTCAGACCTGATGGGTGGAGCTGGAAGTCCAAGCTCCCCACCTGGCCTCCACCTGACTTGGGGGTGCAGGGTGGCCCTCCTTGCTGCCTGGAGGTGATGAAAGTCCCAGCTCTTCACTCTGCCTTTTCTGACATCACCCTGGGGAAGGGAAGGGAGGGGAGGACAGGGGATGAGATGGGTGTGGGGCACGGAGAGCAGGTGGAAGTCTAGGCTCCCTACTTCACCTTTGCTGCCTGGGCTGGGGGTGGGGCACAGTTTTACCTATGGTGTTTAGAGCAGGAGGTTATTGCCTAAAAGTTTTCTGAATTGGCTGGCTGCCCCTTTGCTGCTGGTCCTTTGGCTAGAGGGAGCAGGCTTCTCTTGGGCTGTTTTTTTTCTGCACCCATTGGAGTTTCCGGGTTGCACGCTTTTCCCTGTTAAGTGCATTTTGATCCATGGGGCATAAGATGCTGAACAGCGGCCTTGGTTTGCAAACTTCATCATTCCTAAGAATCACCTGGGTGCTTTTGGAAAGGGCAGCTTCCTGGCTCCCATCCACTGAACTACACCCAGAGTACCTGAAATGGAAGTTCATTGGACCCTTATTTATTTATTCTTAAAAATTCAGTCCATTCATTGTCAACACTTTTCACATTAGGGATTTGCTAAAAGCCATAAGATGCTAATTTTGGAAACTGTTACCCTCCCACTTTCTCAACAAGATTTGGATAGGTACCAGTTAATGGGCAGATGAACTTTTCAAAGTGGAAACTCTAGCAGCTCTTGGTTACTTGGGAAAATTCCCTTTTTCACCTGAAGCACTTGCATGAAATAGATGCCAGATGCTAAAATCATTGTTTCGTGTGATTGAGAATGAAGCTCCTCATGAGAGATAATACACTTTAGATACGAAGATTGCCATCTTCATCAAATTGACCGGTCATCACATACCATCAGCTTCCACTACGTATCAGCAGGAAACTTACTTTTACCAAGACAGTTGTTGGTGAAGGGCATGTTTGTAACCAAACTGACATGTCTCCCTTTAGAGGCAGTGTCCCTCCTTGGGTCCCTTGTCAGATTTTCACCTCTCAGGAATTTGGGGTTCACTCCCAGGCCCCACCAAACCCTGCCTCCTCCCTGGGGGACTTGACAATACTGTATTCTCATCTCACACATGCTATTTATTGACAAAGATGGGAACGATACCCTGGGCTTGAGGGCTCATATTTTAAATATTGTTACTGAATATTTCTAAAAAATTTTTATTGGAGTATAGTTGCTTTACAATGTTGTGTTAGTTTCTACTGTACAGCAAAGTGAATCAGCTATATGTATACATATGTCCCTTCTTTTTTGGATTGCCTTCCCATTTAGATCACCACAGAGCACTGAGTAGAGTTCCCTGTGCCATACAGTAGGTTCTCATTAGTTATCTATTTTATACATAGTATCAATAGTGTATATATGTCAATCCCAATCTCCCAGTTCATCCCACCCCCCCCCCCCCCCTTCCTCTTTGATATCCATACGTTTGTTCTCTACGTCTGTGTCTCTATTTCTCCTGTGTAAATAAGACCGTCTATACCAGTTTTTTTGGATTCCACATATATGCATTAATGTAGTTACTGAATATTTATTGAAAAACAAAGACAAAAAAATCTGGCTGTGTCCAAGTCTGTTTCTTTAAAGACAACTTTGAGGGTACTGAGCCTAGTGCAGGCCTCTTTCTGTTAAGGTATAAAAAGATTAGATTAAGTGGGTGCTGCCCTTCTTTTCTGGGAGCGTGTGGGAATATGCTAATCTTTCTTTGCGTGCTTTTCAGGTTTCCTGTAATGCTTTGAAGATCTGGGAAACAGACTAAGTGCGTGGTAGCTCACAGAGCAGTCCTGAGGGGTTGTCGTGATTGTCGTTAAGTGTCTCATTTGCAAGCTTAACCCAAACTCAACGAAGCCAAGGCCCAATTTGTTCCCTTTGAAACAGACAAATAAAGCTTGTTTTGAGTAAATGGCAACTGATTCAACTGACCAATTATTGTAGTTTAAAGAAAAAACAAAAAAAAAACAGCGACTTTCTGACAGACACTTAGTTTATTCTTCACAAGACCCTTGGCAAAATCTGAAAATAAATTCTCACACCATCAGAGGGACAGAAACAAAAAGGTACACCTACTAGCATCTAAACATTAAGGAGTCAAACATATCTTTAAGTTGGCAATGTGGTATCAAGAGATAACTTTTCTTTATAATATGTTGCACTGTTTAAGACAATGATCAAGTTCTTGATAGTGAAGAATTATAAAATGCAAGACTTCTAGCTGCAAAGAGAGCGACTGCCTTAGAAGTTGAATAATCAGAGAAGAAGACTTACTTAGCAACAAACCTCAGAGAGAACCTCTTTAGCTATTTCTTTTACCTGTCTCTACATGGACAACCTCAGATTTGTCAAACTTACTATTTTGCTGAGCAGAAATAGAATTTACTTCTTATTTCTAACAGATTGACGTGAAACTTGGAGAAATCACACAAGGGTCTTTCTTCAATCAGTTCCTTTGTGGATCTCCAGTGGCCCCACCATTTGGAAATACTCAGTGTGCTCTACTGTGGCCTCCATGGGGCCTGTGCCCCTCTTACTCTGCCCTGCACAGCCCTGGGAGCAGCGGGAGGCGTGGTCCCCCACTTTGCATACGGCAACTTAACACTGCAGATAGATCACATCATAGCTGGTGAGAAAGCTGAAGACGTTGAACTTGAACTGAGCTATGTTCTTCTGTCGGGAGTGGAGGTTGGCATAAGTATTGTCTTTGATGCACCTGATGGCAAGAAAAACCCCAGGCCAAGAGGATTAACTTAAAGCATGGTGTGAATTAATTCTGGCTCAAATAATCAGGCTTGGACACAGACCTTTGAATTTCAACTGGAGTTCTCCCCACAACCCACTCTTCCTTTCGTTTATTAAAAAACCTTATAATACTACCATGAGGGGAAAAACCACCATTCCTGGCCAAACCACCATTCTTGGCCAGAAACAGAAGGGAACTGTAAAATAAAATAAAAACAAGACAAAGTAATTACATTATAGCTAGAGCTGTTTCCTGCTCTACTTTTTTCAAAAGTGGAGATTAAAGGTGGTGGCTGCATTATTTGAAGGTGAACTTCAATTAT